AGCTTCTGCTGTAATGACTCACTTTAGCTATCTTTTTGCCATCCAAATTCTCCGTGATTGTGTGAACTGGAGATTTTGCTGTGAGCAGTCACCACCCTAGAATATATGCTGTCAAGACTCAGGCAAAGAACTGAGCTATGCAGACATATGCAGAACAGTGTGCTGAAGCCGAATAAAATTAAAATGCGTCACCAATAAACTTCTGAAGTTATAGGCAAATTTGTAATCTATCAAATTCTTACATTTCTAAGCCTTTATTTTTTTCAAGTAAATAATGTTGACTCTTGTGGTGCTCAAATGGGGCAAATGCTCAGTTTTGGAGTAAGGTTTCAAAATCCAGGTGTTTGTGTTAATTTCACTGATTAACATGAAGACTAATGAGATTTTTGATTGAATTAGTAATTGGCGTTAGATTATTTCTCTAAATTCTGCAGCCGGACATTTTCAAGTACTGATGACTACTGCTTGTCTGTTACTGTCAAGTGTTGACTGGGTGGCTATGTGCTTTAACCATGCTTTAAATATGCTTTTATGTAGCTCTGCAATGGGTTAACTACAGTTCCCAGGTTTCTTCTATAGGGCAGCAATGTGCTTTGAATATGTGGTGTATGCTCAGCCACATTGAAAGCACATTCAAAGCACATGACTTCCTCAAATAATTCTGGAGTTTGCCCATCACAAGAGCCACAGCTCCCAGCACCCTTAACAAACTACAATTTCCACAATCCTTTGGGGAGGGGGGAAAGCCATGTGTCTTGAATGTATAATGTGAATGCAGCCAATATATAGGTGAATGTGTGAAGGGGGAAGCAGGATTGTATCCACTGTCCTCCACATGCTCATCGAAGCCTGTGAATGAAATCTATGCATGCATAGGTTGTAAATGTGCAGGCTTTGTATGCTAAATAGTGACTTGAGTTCCCCTGCATATAACATGACATGAATGACCCATGCCAGAGCAACCTTCAAGCCAGTGCTTCAATTTGTGTAGATATATACCAAGTTTGAGTGGGCTTATAAGGTAAAGGTAAGGGAAGAGCGGGTGGTGCCGTGATCTAAACCACTGAGCCTCTTGGGCTTGCAGATTGGAAGGTTGGCAGTTTGAATCCCTGTGACAAGGTGAGCTCCCATTGCTCTCTCCCAGCTTCTGCCAACCTAGGAGGTTGAAAACATACTAGTGCAAGTAGATAAATAGGTACTGCAGCGGCGGGAAGGTAAACAGTGTTTCTGTGAGCTCTGGTTTCCGTCACGGAGTCCCATTGTGCCAGAAGCAGTTGTGTCATGCTGGCCACATGACCCGGAAAGATATCTGTGGACAAACGCCAGCTCCCTCAGCCTGAAAGGGAGATGAGCACCACACCCCAAAGTTGCCTTTGACTAGACCTAACCGTCCAGGGATCCTTTACCTTTACCTTTTTACCTATATGAGTTTAGGCAGCCCATCAAATAAGGGGCATACAAGCTGGTTTCTCGATACTGTTTCTCTTCAAACCCTATGCAAAATCTGTGATGGAATTTTCTTTTTAATCAAAGAGCTGAGCCCACACTCAGTTAGTCCTGTTGATTTCAGTCGATGTTTGGATCAGGGGTGCCAACTTGAATAAAATATTGTGGGGGGCCTTGCCCCGCATAATCAATCACAAGATGTGGTGCATGTGCACCCTTTGAATGGCATTGCCCAGCAACTTGGGGGACGGGCCTCAAATATTTTATGGGGGCCTGAAGGAAAATTGTCCCCTAGGAGTTGGGTCCTATGATGTTAATCATATATGTAAACACTTTATTTATTGGTCTATTACAGAGATGGGAAGACTTCAAGCTTGTGAAATCTACTAGAACCCTGGGATCCACCTACTAGATCCTGGTGAGAAAACCATATATTTAGAATGAAAAGATTCTGAGCCCAGGAAATTGTTTTGAGTATCAGGCTGGAATGAAGATTGCAGTTTTTCCACTCAAAAATCCACACCCAAATTTTCATTTCAGCAGTATTATTCAGGATGGGAGAGGAATCATTTGGCTGCTGCTCAGTGCTTTTTCTGTAGAAAAGAAGTTGTTATAGTAAGTGCCACACTTTTAACATTGCTCGGCTACTTACAATTACAGTCATACCTTGGTTCTCAAATGGAATCCATTCCAGAAGTCTGTTCGAATTCTGAAAATGTTTGAAAACCAAGGCAAGGCTTCTGATTGGCTGCAGGAGCTTCCTGCACTCAATTGTAAGCCGTGGAAGCCACGTCAGACATTTGGCTTCCAAAAAACGTTTGCAAACCTGAACACTCACTTCCGGGTTTGCGGTGTTCAGGAGCCAAAACATTTGAGTCACAAGGCATTCCAGAACCAAGGTACGACTGTACTCAGAAATCTACCAGCAGACCCAGGTCTACCTTTTGACCACCTCTGGTCTATTATACCACTACAGCTCATTGTGAGAATGAAAACAGAGGAATTCATAGGCCTTTTTTTTAAAAAAAAAAAAAAAGCTTATCTTTGCCCATATATCAATACTATAGATTCACATGATACTTGCATCTGGGTGGAACTACTATTCATTAAAGTTGTATTATACTGAAGTGCTCACAGAGTATGCTATTTTATAGTACAATTTATGGCTGACATGCTAACTCTTTTCCATTCCATTATTCATTATTCTCCAATTATTCATCTAAACTGGGTACTTCTGAAATGCTAAAGGAATTGAAATGCTCTGTCCACGTTCCCACCAAATGAATTCATCATGATTACGGTGACGAGAATGAATATCAAAGAAATTAATCATCATTAAGAAGATATTGAAAAGACTTGCTCCCATGTTTCAAGGAACTGGCCTCAATCCAGCCAACGCTATGTATGTTTAAGTCCTATTGATCTTGAATGGGTGAAAGTTAAGCACTTGCTTAAGTTGCCCCTTAAAATCAGTAATTTTCAAAGTGCTAAACATTTTGCTGGATCTTGCTTGGTATATCATGCCTCAGGAAGTCAGATGAGGAGAGGACCATGAACACCCTTATAAAAGAATACCATACTTAATATTTTATTCTTTATTTCATAAAAGTTATATACTGCTTGATTGTGTGTGTCTTTTAAAAAAAGCCTTAGCAGGCACAAACTAAACCTTATCAATAAATACAATAAGCAGTAATAGCAATAAGAGTAGCAGCAACAGCAGTATTGGTAATAACCAGTGCTTTTTCTGGGGGGATGTAGGGGTATGCATAACCCTAAACATTTTGTGAATCTTCGTACTTTTGTCCATTTACTGTATTTATTTTTCCCAATTTGAACTATAAAATGGTGATTTTCTTGAGTCAAAATGAGAGTACCCCTAAACATTTTTTAATGTTTTTAAAGGCACTGGTAGTAATCACTGCTCTTCTGCTTATAGGACCATAGCATGCAAAACTGTACAAACAAGAGAGAAGGGGCTAGATCCAGACCTACTGGCCATGCAGTCTTATACAAGAGAATAAGCAAGAATTAAAAGTGAAGTCATTCCAGCCTCTGAATTCCAATCACCTTCATCAATAGCTTTAAACTGCAGGCAAGTAATTAAACCTTAGCATGCAGACAGACATTTAGGAGATAGCTTAGCAATGAAATAAGGTTTCTACTGCTGGAGGTTTCAAGAAATAGCTGCAGATAAGAACATAAAAGAGTCCTGCTGGATCAAGCTAAAGGCCCATCAAACCCAACAACCTCAGTGGCCAAACAGAGGTCCATGGGGAGCACTATGGGAAGAAAAGGGCAACCAAAGCAGTCGCGGGAATGGGGTGATTCCTGTATGAGGAAAGGTTGCAGCATTTGGGATTTTTTAGTTTTGAGAAAGAGGCAAAATGTTAGAAGTTTATAAAGTTACATCTGGCATGGAAAAACTGGATACACTAGATAACTAGAACTTAAAGGCAGCCAATGAAGACATACCCTCCAACATGCCACAGAGGAAAATTAGGATGCATGTCTTTTGGGGCCATGTTGCCACCTGAGTCACCCCCCAAAAATGTGTCTTTGGGGCTGCATTCTCATGGGAGCCAGGTGACTCGTGCAAGAACATGCCCCCCCATGACCATCTTTTGGGGCTGCACTCTAGCAGGAGTCAAAACAGGACATCCTGGGATCCAGGCAGAAGCTGGGGTGGCTTCTATAATTCCAGGACAGTTGAGGGATATGTGAAGCTAAATGTTGGAAGATTCAGAACAGATAAGGACCGCTGACATCCATCTCCGCCATATCAAGCGGTTGGTCCCTTACCTTTCTCACCCTGATCTGGCCACAGTGATCCATGCGACGGTCACCTCCAGGCTTGATTATTGTAACTCGCTCTATGCAGGGCTGCCCTTGAAGCTGACCCAGAAACTCCAGCGGGTGCAGAATGCCGCGCGAGGCTCCTTGCCGTGGGGTCACCTTTATCCAGTGCTTTACCAGCTGCACTGGCTCCTGGTGGAGTACAGGGAGAGGTTTAAGGTGCTGGTTTTGACCTTCAAAGCCCTATGTGGCCTAGGACCCTCACACCTATGGGACTGCCTCTCCTAGTATGCCCTGTGGAGGACCTTAAGGTCCACAAATAACACTTTGGAGGTCCTGAGCCGCAAGGTGGTTAGATTGGTCTCAACTAGGGCCAGGGCCTTTTCAGCACTGGCCCCGACTTGGTGGAACACTCTGTCACAAGAGACCAGGGCCCTGCAGAATTTGACATCTTTCTGCAGGGCTTGCAAGACAGAGATGTTCTGCCATATTTTAATAAACTGGGTTTTTTTGTTTTTGTTTTTTGTTTGTTTCTTTGTCCGTCCGTCCCCCACTATGTTTTAATGTAATTTTATTGGTGTTAGCCGCTCTGAGCCCGGTTCTGGCTGGGGAGAGCAGGGTACAAATAAAAAATTATTATTATTATATTATATTTATTATAATCAGTGAGGAGCTTTTTCAGCCTGGAGCTGGCTACAGCAGTGTCAGGGGCAGTCAGGCTGGATGACATAAGCTACACACCCAATGCCTGCAACAAAGCCTACTAGCTCAGTTGGCAGAGCACGAGACTCTTAATCTCACAGTCATGGGTTTGAGCCCCATGTTGAGAGACAGATTCCTGCATTGCAGGGGGTTGGGCTACATGATCCTTGTGGCCCCTTCCAACAATACAATTTCATGGCATCTGTAATCAATAAAGTTGTGGTCTGTCTAAACTCCCCAAATTACTGATGTCCTAGGAGGCAGTGACGGCCACCAGATTGGATGGCTTAAAAGAGGATGAGACAAATTCAGGGAGCATAAGGCTATCAGTGGCTACTAGCCATGATGGCTATGCTCTGTCTCCATGATTGGAGGCAGTAATGCTTCTGAATACCATTTGTTGGAAACGGCAGGAGGAGAAGGTGTTCCTGTGATGAGGTCCTGCTCGAGGGTTTCCTACAGGCTTCTGATTGGTCACTTGTGAGAACAGGATGTGGGCTAAATGGACCATTGGCCTGATGTAGCAGGCCTTTCTTAAGTTCTTAAGAATACCCTAACTGAAATCTAATTCACATACAGTGGTACCTCTGGTTAAGAACTTAATTTGTTCTGGAGGTCCGTTCTTAACCTGAGGTACCACTTTAGCTAATGGGGCCTCCCGCTGCCGCCACACGATTTCTGTTCTCATCCTGAGATAAAGTTCTTAACCTGGGGTACTATTTCTGGGTTAGCAGAGTCTGTAACCTGAAGCATCTGTAACCTGAAGCGTCTGTAACCCGGGGTACCACTGTATTACTTACCCTTGATTTAATCTTTGCCTTGAGGTGCCAGATGGATGGTCTGGGTTTGGGGGAGGCAGTAGTCATAGTGACATGGTAGTAATGGTATGACTCATTGCCTGGTAAGTGGCACTTTCCCCCGGTAGGTGTGATGGACTCAATATGGAGACTTATGAAATATGGGGGGGTTCCTGAATCCTCTGGGCATAGAGTTGGCTACTCTAGTGAGGGCGTGGTCTCATTTTGGAATGGCAAGGTACAAATGGGCATCAGTCTGAATGTCCTCTCTGTTGCTGTGAAGCCCACATTGCTCTGTGGTTTCATGGACAATGAAACAGGCTGGATGACTGGAGCTCAGCTTCTGCATAATCCATCATGAAGACAACTGAGCATTTTTAGAGCATATAACCATGGCTGCTGTGTGTTGGTGAGGGTGGCAAAGAAGGCAGTCCATTGCATCCTTGCATAGTTTTCCCAAGGGGCTCAAGCTTTATTAACATCTACCGCTGCTTGTGGGAGTCTGGTGCCCTCCGATGTCAACTCCAACAAATCTGTGAAGCAGTTTAAGGGTAAAGTTGCTCACCTTCATGTGGGTTTGGATTCCTGAGACTAGCGTTGTCTAGTGCCAAAAATGTCTCCTGGTTTATTTATTTATTTTATACAGTTCTCCATCAATTAGAGGACAAATTGTATTTGAACATTATCAAAGGAGAGAGAAAATGCAAATGAGATTATAATGGATGAGGCGGAGGGATTTTGTTGCATGTACCGTATTTTTCGCCCCATAGGGCACACCTAGTTTTTTTGGGGCGGGGAAATAAAGAAAAACAATTATTTCCCCTCCAGGCGCGGGGCTGGCGCGGGGGAAACCTGAGCTTCCCCCGACCCCAGTCCCCAGAACAGCCTGCTATCCGCAAGCCTAGGGAGCCCAGCGGGAAGTCGCACCGGTCTCCCCAGGCTTGCGGAGAGCTGCGCGAAGCCGGGAACTGCAGGCAGCTCTGCGCAACCCTCGGGAGACTGGTGCGACTTCGCGTGTGGTCAAGGAGTGTTTGTGAATGTTCTTTACTTTTTGTGGAAGTGTTTGTGAATGTCCTTTATCTCACTTTGCAGCCTTCCTGGATGCCTGCTCTTCAGGGAAGATGTCATAAGGAAAAGCCTCCTATGTGCTTCTCTTCTCTTCCAGATCAGGAAGCGCAGGCAGATAGGGAGGCTGCAGAATGCTGGAGTAATATTTACTGGAAAGACACACAGAGATAAAGAGAGAAAGAGAGAGAGAGAGAGAGAGAGCGCACCACCTCATAAAACTAAAGTACCGTATTTTTTGCCCTATAGGACACACTTTTTCCCCTCCAAAAATGAAGGGGAAATCTGTGTGCGTCTTATGGGGCGAATACAGGCTTTCGCTGAAGCTTGGAGAGCGAGAGGGGTCGGTGCGCACCAACCCCTCTTGCTCTCCAGGCTTCAGGAAGCTATCAGCAAGCCTGGGTAGCCCGCGGGAGTTCCCACAGGGCTCCCTAGGCTGCGGATAGCAGCCTGCCGTCTGGCGCGCGGGGCGCGCTGAAGCAGAGCGTCCCGCGCTTCAGGCAGACATCGGCCAGCGCCACAAGCTCGGGGGACAGCAGGGAGGCGCAGCGCCGCCATCCTGCTGTTCCCCGACCTGGTTTTGGGGGGGAAATAAAGGGGAAAAAAATTCCTTTACTTCCCCCCCAAAAAACTAGGTGCGTCCTATGGGCGGAGCGTCCTATGGGACGAAAAATACGCTAACTGAAATATACTCAGAGCCGAGAGTGGATTTCATGCTCTTTATTCAGCTCATAGTGGTGAGGAGGAATGGAAGTTCCCCCAGAATGTACATTATTTACACAATGGGCCCCGCATGACTGGCTAATTCCGGGATTCTCCTGTAGGCCAATTAGGTTGCAGATTCCCTTCCACCTGGAGCTGGATTGGGTGGCTCCTGTGGACCAATCAGACTGTTCTAGGACCAATCAGACTGCTGCATTCTGAATCCTATTGTTCTAGGACCAATCAGACTGCTGCCTTTTGGATCCTATTCAACTCAGTACATAACAGTAACCTCAACTCCAACCCACTGAAATTCTAAATAAATTCTCAAGTTCTCTGAGGATGAGGCAGAACAACAGAATCCAATTTGTCAGGGGACTCAAACTTTTGAGAAATTGGAGGAGATTTTGACACAGCGGCACAAGTTGAGACATGTCCATTGGAGGTGTCTAGTCTAGTGTCATGCAATTAGTTTCACCTTCTGAGGTCTGAGAATGTGGGCAAGGTGCTTGTAGCTTTCCAGCTGACTATCCACCCTCTTAGTTAGGGCTAAAGGAGACATTTGATTCAGTTTGCATTTAAAGGCAAACACACCCAACTCTCATGTTCTGAAAAACATAGTCCTCCTTCAAATTTCTCCAAATTTTGCAGTGCACTCCTTGAACTAAATAATATGTTCAAAAATGCGTATACAAGGTTAATGTGTGCATTAAAATACAGTTATCAGTGAAATTACAAAAAACCCATTACATTAAATTGCTTTCCAAAAAAAAGTATATTAGGAAAAAATTCATAAAGATGTGTGTTTATTAAATTCATAAAGATGTGTGTTTATTACTATGATGCTGATGAATTTAAAAACAAAAACCATCCCAAACTGATGTGGAAATGTGGAGAACTGAGCTTAAGACTGGAGAGAAACCAATATTGATAGATTCACGCATCCCTGCTCTTGACCCTTTCGCTATTGCAGGTAATTCAAATGAGGTGGGGAGGGGTTGAGAGTGTGATGGATGACATGAGAAGGCAGTGCCCCTAAAGAGGTCCTAAAGAGGTGTCCCTAAATGAGGTCTGGAAGTGTGCCAGAAACTAGCACCTGGTCACTCATAGCTCCTCCTTGGAGCAAATTGCTCCAGAAAGTGTTTCCAGAAACGCGCTCTTGGAAGTAGATCTGATAGCTCTCCATTCATCCCATTTCCAAGTCATTGTGTTCAGGGACAAGTGAAAGGATCGCAAACACACACACACACACACACACACACACACACCCCTGCCACCAGTTTGGATGCCACTATAAACAAGGCCACTCCACTTTTGAAATAAATCAAAGCAGCTTTGACTAGATGCCAGAGTGACTGTAGCAAGCACTGCAGGAGAAGGACAAATTACTGCTGCTTTGTCAGCACTGGCACAGAAGCCTCTGCCTTCTCCACCAGGAACCATAAGCTGTTAATCTTCCCATTTTGTGAGAGTGGTCACTCTTCAGGGATCAAAAAACAGCCTTCTCTTTCATTTGTAAGAAATTTACACCATGCAAAGCGGAGTTTCTGCACTTTTATTAGCAACGTCGTCTTTTTTCCAAAACACGCACGCACTCGGCGCTGCCATTAGCAGAGTCTCACAAACCTCTGGTCCCTGTTGACAGAATGCTAACAAATGCTAACTTAGTTGAGCTGAATGTGAGAGTCTGAAAGCAGACTGTGTGCATGTAATACTGCAATGCGAGACAGATGTAGAGGGCTCAAGAGTGAAGGTAACTGTAAGTGAAAACTTGCATTGCCATGGCAACTCAATAGAGCAGTCTATGGCACTACTGAAAAATATAACCTCAGAGTGTTTACAGGAGTGAGGGGAGAAGAAAGCAGCAAAATGCTCAAGGTTTGGAATTGTTAGCAATCACCCTGATTCAACCAGAGGCATAATTAAATTAGCACTCCTCCACCTGCCAAGTCCAAAAACATTACCATATATCCTATATCCCAGTTGGGGTGTCTTCAATGTATACAAAGCACAGAGCAAAGAATTGCAGAGAAAATGAGTGCTATGGGCTGATTCAGATGTTGTCTTGTGGGGCACATGTATATATTTATGTGTGTGTGGATATATATGTGTTTGTGTGTGTATATAAACACACACACTATGCAAAACAGCTTTTTGACTGCTCATGCAACTTGCAGTTTTAATTTATTATTTATTGCATTTACATCCCATTATTTTCTCCACAGAGCTCTAGGTGGGATACATGGCTCTCCCCGTCCTCATTTAATCCCCACAACAACCCTGTGAGGTAAATTAAGCTGAGATATTGTGACTGGACTAAGGTTGCGAGTTCCATGGCTGAGCGGGGATTTGAACCCAGAACCTAGTCCAGCACTCTAACCACTACGCCATATGTAGAAAAGGTTGGGATTTCCCAGTTCTGTTATAGAATCAGGCTTGTAAATTGTAAAATGTGAGTTTATAGAATTGGATCCAGAGAAATGCCCATGGAAGGGGCTGGACTAAAGGGAACTTTCCTCCCCTAATCTCCCCCAACAGCTTTCTCGGTCCCTGAAAAGCTTCTCCTG